TATGAAACAACAATTTCTTCATCCATACTAACTGAAAGAACCTGTCGACGAAAGAAAACGCGATGTAAGATAATAATTCTTCAAAAAACATTTATTTTATTTACTTGTCCTTTACGATTAACAGCAATAATGCCTGATGTTGGTTCATAGGGTGCTGTGACAAACATTGTCTCAGCACTAATACGATTCATGCAAATCAGCGTTCCACTTTCAATATCAAACATGTGTACATAACCATATTTTGTAACTAAAAAAATGACACCATGTTTGGCTGATGTTTGCATAGCAACAGGAAAATCATTTGGTGATTCAGCTGGAAATTGAACATCGACGACTTTCTTTTGAAATGCTTGATTCTCTGGTGGTGGTGTTCCAACTTCAATAATATGAAGCTAAGATATAAAAAGAAGGAAAAGATAAAAGAAGATAAAAACGAATGTTTCTATTTACTTTCCCTCCTTGTGGACCCCGAACAGCAAATGAAAAAAGTGTTGATGTTTTTGTATTTCCTTCAAGTTTAAATTGTGTAAATGCAGCTGCATGCCCTTCAATTGGTTGGGAAACTTTATGTTCAACTGAATAAAGTTGCATACGACCAACAACACGACCTTCTTGAGCTTTGATACCTGAAAACAAAATAATAATAATAATAAAAGAAGAAAATAAATGTATATAAAATCGTTCTATTACCATTGACAAGAAGCCAATGCCAAGATTCATCAGTACGATAGTTAATTATTTGACAACCAAGTAAACTTTGATGCCGATCAAACATTTTATCGGGTTGACTATCACCTTCCATAGTCCAATGATAAACTGATGTTTCTGTAACAATACCAATGGTATTAACACTAACCCATTTCCAAAATATACTATCTTCTTCCATAGTATATGTTTTCATTCGACTACTTAATTTAATATTGAAAATTTGTAATGTTTTACCAGCTAAAGAAAATTCATTTCATACTTATCATTTTATTTTCCACTAAATTATTTACTTTACCTTTTAATGCAATGACTTTACTTGTTGGATTCATGATGGCTGAATCCGCTGTAATAGGTAGCTTAATTGGATTAGTTGGATCAGCCATATCAATAATAATAACAAAGGCTGTATCATTAACTTTCTCACGAACGCATATAAATTTATCCGATTCCATCGTAAGGGAACTGAAACCAATATTTGTAACATTGATACCGACATTTTGTAACTAAAATAAAAACAAGAATTCAGTCGAATTATTTATGAAACCAGCGTTTTACTTGTAGATGTTCTTGAAATTTAACAGGCAATTGTTCTGTCATGTTAACGATCTTCAAGATAGGAAACGTAAAATGGAAAAATTTCCACTTTTTTGTTTGTATCATAAACGCGAGGTATCAGTTTAGGAAAGGGCACTCTCCCATATCAGGCCAGGTCTTATATGAAAAACATTCTTATCCTACACGAAAATATTTTCTATTATCAACTTCGTAGAGGATCTTCGAGGCGACTTCTACTTATTTCAGCAAGAACAAAATGCATTAAAGGCTTGTTGAAAAAATGAGATTGTTGACTGCGGGAAAGAGACCTGTGGAGAGCCCCGAAACCCGACTCTGACGGATTCGGAGTTGAAGTCAATTTTATTGAAAATTTTTTCGGGATTAATCGGACTCCGATAAACTCCGAAAAATTACAATAGTATGATGAAATTTCACTATTTCATAGAGCAATATCCTTATTTTTTATATGAAGACGTAAAAAGACAAAAGACAGCACTTGCTACATATATTGAGATTAAGTTTCAAGACAAAAAAGAACAAACGAACCATCTTTCAGGCATAAGATTCGAAAGGTTGACTAAATAAAAACAATGTCATCTATCAAGACATACACCTTGCGAATTATCGACGAAAATTGTATGAAACTGTTGCCACATTTGGCTAAAATTTGAAGTTTTTCGTTTTTACTAATTTAACAGATTCATTATTTTCATCTATCAGCTTTTGAAGCTCCCTTTTGATTTTTCTTTAATTTTAATTCATTTCTTTGTCTATCTATTTGGGTATATTCAAAATTAAGCAATAAAATAGATCAAAGGTCGCACATTTTGAATAATAAAGAAAGAAAAAGATGCAGTAAAGACTGTTGAAAAAATGAGGCTGTTGACTGTGGGATACGAGCATGTGAAAGTAAGGCTCCCCATATGAGCCTAGCTCCATCTACGCGCGTAGAACTGGTTCCACAATGTTCACCATCGCTTAATAGGATGTATTCTCTATTTTCAGATTGATTCATAGCACATTAGGACCTACATGATGCATATTGACTTGATTCAGAATTGATTTATCAACTGGATATGTTCCCTCGTCGGTAAATAAATTGATTCTTTTTATTGTCCAAGTTTATTCAAAGAAAATATTGTAAAGCACATATTTAGTATGACAATATAGTTGAAGTTGTGCAAACCGCCTCCATTAACCAAGAATACATATTGACGGTGAAAAGAAATAAAGAAAACGACTACAATAATAAACAAGAACAACAACAAAAAAATAATTAATACAATAACTGTCGAATGAAATTCCTTAGTCAAATATTTGCTTTTACATATACCAATCGATTTACAATAGGAACTATTTTGAGATGTTTTTCATCGTTTTCAACTGCTTTGTTTTTTTCTTCAATAAAATTGCTAAGAACCTAGTTTGAAATGTCTTTCAGAGATTTAAAAATTGTCTCGATCTATGCAAAAAGCTGTATATATTTTCCGCTTTGATTCTGATATTCTAAAGATTATTTGTAGACGTTTCAAATTGCGCTTGGCCAAATACATTGAAGAAAATCAAATTGTATGTCAAGCAGCGATGATACCTTCGTGGAACTTTCAATATGTGTTATTATATTTTATGGTGGCACAACTAAATGTAAATTATGTAAGAGCAGTTTGGCCATTGGGAAATTCTTCGAATATTCAACTCTTAGGTCTCTTTGATAATTTATCGAATAAATCTGAATCTAGTTCATTATCAATTCATAGTCGAGCTATGTTTAAATCAGCTTTACTACTTTCTCGACAATATAATATAACGATCGGAGGACAATTCATAGGATGGCAATCAGCAGAAACAAATGGCAATATAATCGATGCCCTAAGCAAAACATGTCAAGCATTGTCTTTTTCAAATATTGTCGGCATTGTTGGTCCAGGATTATCAAGAGAAGCTTATTTAGTAGTTGATTTTGGTAAAACAATCGGTATACCTGTTATATCCTATAGTGTAACTGATCCTGATTTGTCTAATCGAAATGTTTATCGAAATTTTTTTCGTACAGTTCCTTCCGATAATTCAACTGCATTGGCAATTGTTAAATTATTTGCCCGATACAATTGGACATCATGCATAGTGATTTACCAGAATGACGCATTTGGAACGGGAGGATCAAAAATCATCAACGAAGCATTCATTAATAATAATTTAATTGTCGACCAATTAATAATATTTGATATAGTTACACTTCGTATTCGAGGCGATTTGAAAAATTATTTAACAAATAGTCCAGCTCGAATTGTTATTCTATGGGTTCAATCAAGTTATATAAAATCTATTTTAGAGAACGCTATTCAACATGATCTAATGGCTCCGCAATTTACATGGATATTATGTTCAAGTATTTCGTTGAAGAATTTCAATGAAACATTTTATGAGAAATTAATTGGCTCATTTTCAATTGAACCTGTTACAGCAAGTGTTGTGGATGCGCCAATAAATACAACATTACTAAATGCTGCCTATCAAATTTGGCAACAATACGAACCCGAAACATTTCCTGGAGCAACAAATGTGAATTCCTATGCACTATTTGCGTTTGATGCAACATGGACATTAATTAAATCATTAGAAAACGTTTGCGCAACACTGAAAAATAATTCTTATTCATGTTTATCCTTTATTGGATCTTCTTTTTGTTTTCATCGACGTTTCGTTCATTCCGATTTATTACTAAATACACTTTGTAGAACCGATTTTCTTGGCGTATCTGGTCGTATTAAATTTAACTTTAACGTAACAGATCGAATTATTGGATCGTATTATTATGCACAAAATGTTCAACCTTCATCAAACGGGTCAGATTTTGTACCAGTATTACAATATTCCGATTCTACTGATTGGAAAACATTTAAACAAACAAACGTTATTATTTGGCCTGGTAGTTCATTAGTACCGCCGACTGGTCGAGCAATACTTGAAGGTATAACTTTAAGAATTGGTGTTATTGAATCACCTCCATTTACAATAGTTACAAATGTCATTGATGAAGTTGGACAGAATACGTCGAAATTAACTGGTTATGTACCAGATCTGATTCAACTATTAGCTGATAAGATTGGATTTATTCCAAATGTGCAACTAGCGCCACCCAATCAAACATATGCAGGATTAGTTCAAGAGGTAGTCAATGGTCATTATGATATTGTTATTGGTGATGTTACAATTACTGCTACACGAAGAGAATTAGTTGGCTTTTCGAATGCTATATTTGATAATTCTTTGCGTATTCTTATGCGAAAAACACCTGATGTATCTATTGAAATGTTAGCGTTTTTAAAACCATTTTCACATACACTTTGGTTATTAGTCTTAGGTGCTTGTGTCTATGCTGGCCTATTAATTTGTTTTATAGAAAGACAAGACAATGAAATGTTTCAAAATCGATCAATATTATCTCAAATAACAATGAGTATTTGGTATTCTTTTGGTAATATTGTTGGATACGGCGTAGATTTTCATGTCAATACCGCTGCTGGACGTTTAATCACTGCTGGTTTGTATATGTTAAGTTTGATATTAGTAGCTACCTACACTGCAAATTTAGCATCTGATTTAACAATATCAAAGTCGAAAGATAGTATTTCAGGAATTCACGATATTAAAAATGGAAAAATGCCATTCAATCGTATTGGTATTCGTATGGGTACAGCTGGCGAAGATTATTATTTAAGAGAAATATCCTTTGGCAGTCGAAGTTATTATCCATTAAAATCTCGACAAGAAATGTATGATAGTCTACTTGCCGGAATTATTGATGCATCCTTTATGGATATTGGTACTGCTGAATATATGACCAATAATATTTATTGTAATTTAACTGTGATTGGAGAAGATTTTGACAAAGGAGTTTTTGGAATTGTTACTCCAAAAGAATGGTTGTATGCTAAAGATTTAGATGTTAATATTTTATTATTAAGAGAATCCGGTGACCTTGATGATTTAAGACAAAAATGGTTTCAAAAAAGAAATTGTCTTAATTTAGACGAAACATCGATTGCCATGCAAATTAATTCAATGGGTGGATTATTTTTAATTTTTACAATAGGTACTTTTCTATCACTGCTATTATTTTTATGGTCGAAACGATTCATTATTAAACATAATTTATTGAACTTGTTACGTCGAAAGAAATTCTTGTTTAAAAAGAAAGTCAAAATGGTGAAGTACTCAAGTAAAACATCAAACCATACGGAAAACTCCAGAATACCTTTATCTACTATTGTACGATTACGACCATGAAACTTTCTTTGCATTTTTTTACTTGAAAGTCGATCCACTTCAATGATCTGCTTTTATTTTTGATATACTTGAGATAATGCCAAAAAAAAACCAAATATTTGGAAGATTCTAATGGACTGCATATTGAATGTTGAACTTGCTTATGCTTAATAATATATAACAGTGACGAATCCAGGGCATTCGTGAGGGGCTGGTGGTCCTGCTCAAAAAAGGTTCGCGAAGTTTGTTTGGCGCAGTTCAATTTCTTTCTGCTGCGGAAAAATAAAAAAAATATTGATGAGAGGGCAACGATCGTCAGTGACGTGAAGCGGGATTGTGTGTTACATTTTTAGGTACTCAGGATATTCAAGTGAAGGCTTTTAAACCATTGATATGTTTACGGCTTGTCATTTCTTGAAGGCACTAAAGTTGCTGAAAAGACTAAACGGATAAATTTATTGATACAGCGAAATAACTGTTCACAGTTTTCCGAAATAAAAAAATGTCATGGTGAGCATATTTGTATCTTTGAATTGTTTCATGTAGGATTTCGATGGAACAACAAATATTAAGAAAATGCCCATTGAAGGAATGACTGAAACCATATAATCAATGAGATATACCTATGAATTATGTGAGGCTTTAACACATCCGGACAATAACGAAATTATAAGACGAAGTGTTGACAGAATGATTAGAACTGTAGGGCTTACAATAAGATTTTGTGTTCATTAAATTGATGACGAAGATGTTGCATATAGGTTAGTCGTTGTTTAGTCTTTGCTGTTCGACCACTACCTCTTAAAATAATGAATAAGGCTGAAAAGAGATTAGCAGCAAAAGGAATCGAAAAATACACCATTGACGTCGGCCTTCTTTATCATCATATAAATCACGATAAATAGGTTCATGAATATAATAGAGATTGCTATTATGAATGGTAAAATGATAATCACCAATCGTGCCAAGCGTTTATTTAGCACTTTATTAAAAAAGGGTGCCTTTGTAGACTGATATCGATCTTTCGAAAGTCGCAAAGACACTTAACCAATTATCTGTATAGAGACAAAGTTTAATGAAGAATTCCAATACTATACAACCACCTTGAAGGAACGAACTATTGATTAGGCGATCAATTTGAGTCACCACTAGAAACCAGAATTTGAATGCAAAAAATAGTCACTGTGAAAAATGAAGTAATGGATCATGCTAGAAGATAGCGTCCACAACCAACTTCTCTTGAAATTTTAGTATGAAATGTAAGAATAGAGAAAGCACTATTGATCCATCCACCAACCAATATGAATATCGTAAAGGCTGAACTCCATTTAATCAAATTACTCTGATGATTGAATATTGTATTTCATAACGGAACATATCATCAAGTGCTAATACAATACCTTTTGCATAAAATTGACATCGATCACCGAAAAACAAAATCCGTGCAAATACATATAGTAACTGCTGGACAGTAAATATCATCTTGCCAACATTCAGCTTCATTTTGACATACTTGAGGAGTACGTTTGAATCTGAAACAACTGGGATGAGGCTCAGGAGTGACTCAGTATGAGTAATATTCCACTAATTTCATGAGAAACTCCTATTGTCTTAATAGTGGGCACCACTTGTAGTGGAAAAAGTTTGAAATATCTTATATAGACTATTTTTTAAAGTCTTAAGACACTTCTCTGCCAACCATGGATTCCTAGTTATTCCACACCTTGAAAATTAAAAGGTTTCAATTAAGTAAAATTCGGATAATGAGTAGCGGGAAGGATACGTTCCATATGGATGTTGATTCATCAATAAGATATTCTATATTGTAATAAATTTGAGGTAATATGTAGTCACAAATTCGACCAAGTAACTATTGCATCCTTTATTCTAATGTTATGAACAGTTGATACAAAATGGACAATATTGAGAAAAGTTTTCTTCTCGTGCTATACTATCAAGTCGATCAGTATGAATACCGAGTAACGAATAGAGACGATCAGCATTATGAAGTTTCTGCAAAGTATTAGATAACATCTCAATCGATAAATGAAGAAGAAGGATATCAGATCGATTCCTACTGAATATGGACTATGACACTTTTGTCCAACTACACACAATTCTTTATAGGTAAATGCCCTTTGTTTATATTTTTGATGGTTGACCTCAATGAAGAATAGAATAAATGAATTTGCTAGAAAGAAAAGTTACGTCAATGCATCGTCTAATGAAATCATTACTGAATATCCTTATTATTATTTCCACACAATACAACAATATTATTTGCTTTGTGTATTTGCAAATTTTTATTATTCTCATTCTAATTAGCAATATTCGAATTCGTTGTTTTTCTATTGATATTCATACGGAAACGATATCAAGTGAGACTTAGGATAATTAATACATGAAATCAATTTTCATCGTTCGAGATAAGATGCGTTGGATTAGAGCCATTTTGGATCAAATACAATCGGAAAGAAACGACCTTGAATAGGCTGCCCATGTGGAACGACAGGAATACCGAGTAAAAGGGGTTCGTCAGTGTTGCTACACGTTCCTTCGGCAAAATAATTGAGCACAGCAGAGCGGCGAGGTAATGCTGTGTGATTGCCATGAGAACCGTGCACCATGAGTGGATGATGAAATGAAGCATGGCCCTTTTTTAGCAGAGCTGGCACTGGCTGAAATTGTTGTTTTTCCTCCTCGGTTAAAATAGCCTTGATACTATCCATGTCCTTGAAATCGAAATCAGTCACTGGTAATGGCACTTGTTTACCATCACGCTCACGATACCATCGGTGTGAGCCAGGTACGAATTGAAGGGTGCCATTTTCTTCGGTTTGATCGTCTAAAGCAATGTGTACAGTGAGATGTTGCATCGGTTCAGTTCGCGTCCAATAAGAATAATCTTGATGCCAAGCAACTGGACCACCATGAAAAGGTGGTTTAGCAAACAATTGATCATGCCAAAATTGAACGGGTACAAACTTTTTATCCGATGGGTGACAAGCTGCAATCAGTTGTGATGTAGGTACGGTGACATTCGGCAAGAATATTAAGTCATGAAAGAGAGGTGTTACTCGCCAGTGGCCTAACATATGCGTGAGAACATTGTCGGGATCTCCAGTTTGATTTGAATGGTATTCGTGAAGAAGATGTCGACCCGGAAGATCCAGTCGATGAGCATCGTTAAGAGCATTTGCTTGAGAGAGATCTTTCTCATTCCAAAGAAGAAAACGTTTGTATTCTTCGAGAAGTCGATCACATTGTTCATCGGTGAGAACACGAATTTGATTCAAATAGCCATTGTTTTTGTAAAACTCAATTTGTTCAGTGGTTAGAAGATAAGGTGTGTAAGAAGCATCATTAGCAGATAAAGAACCGAAAAGCTCCCCGATCGGTTCAGAAATCGTCGAGAGATCTAGCACATCAGTATTGATGGGTGCCTCATTTATGATAATAGGGCGCTCAGGTAAAGTCGTCATTGCAATACTCGCTTACAAAAGTAAAATAAAGACAACAAAAATGAAAAAAAAAGATATCAAATTGTTTTTATCTATCGAGTCTTGTCGTGAGAAGCTAAATGTAGTGCACACAACTCAAAACTACTTTCTTGTAATATGATATTGTATGCGTCGTGAATCAACGCTGATTCAATCGAGATTCAGGTGTATTCGATAAGAAAGAAGGAGCACAGTACTAAGTCGAGAGTTTTATTATTTTCTTATCTAAGCTAGGGTTGGATCATTTCATTTAAATGGATCTACTGAACAAAATCAATGAAGTCAGTTTTTTAGCTCATAACCCTGGCAGATATTTTACAGAGAGTTCTATGTTGATAAATAAAAATAGTGAAATAACATGTTCTGTATACATTTGCATTATTGAGATCTCGACTGAAAGATTGTTTGAATTGAAAAATTTGATAGCTCCTGCAACTAATTGCTACAAAGTGGAGTTGACCCACACACTTTTCATATATGCATTTCAGTTAATAAAATAAAGTCATGATGATTTCAGAAATGAGTAGAATAAAAACTTCTAACAATGGAGGTGCTTGTACTGTCCGTGAGAAAAACGGGATATTTTCGGATCAAATGAAAGTTCTCATAGGAAAACTAGCAAGGTTATTTTCTCTACAGGACCGGCTTTCCCAGCAATATCATATTCTCGAATTGGAATCTGAAACTTTGCATGCATGAAGGTTTCAATGAGACTAGCTTACAGANTCGAAGAGGGTTTGTCCAAAGCTTCTGATTTTTTTTCTGTAAGCTAGTCTCATTGAAACCTTCATGCATGCAAAGTTTCAGGTTCAAATTCAATAATATGATATTGCTGGGAAAGTCGGTCCTGCAGAGAAAATTCACTGAAAAATCGAATATCTCCCTCTAGACAAGCCAATAGCAGCTAATATTTTTAACCTTGCTAGTTTTCCTATGAGAACTTTCATTTGGTCCGAAAATATCCCTTTTTTCTCACGGACAGTACAAGCACTTCCATTGTAAGACAAAAATAGACTTTTATGGAAGGATCTGTTTAGTATTTAAATATAAAAGAAGATACTGCAGATTCCTTTGGATTGATTCATATTAATTACACATCATTCTTCTTGAACATAACGAAAAAATAGTCTCATAAAGCTGTAGCGAATATTCTTGAGCAGTGCTTGAAAAATCGACATACAATAGTATATTCTTCATGACAATCACTTAATTCATTAATATTATAAAATGTAAGTTTAGTTTTAAAATACTTTGACTGGCATGTCCCCAAATGACTCTAAGGAGTTTTAATTCCCTGATTGGATTGTTATTGCAGTACAATACACACACGAAAGTTTATCTCTTAAATATTATATTGCATACAAAAATAGCAAATCAAGTATATGTTTTAGTTTCACTTTGGTATTGGCAAAGTTTCTATCGATTTTTTATATCTTTCGAACGAAACCGATTCTTGAATTTGTCGGTTGTGGGTCTTTTTGGCAAGGTATTGAACCATCCTGATCGAGCTGATTGCGCTTCATTTAGATATGTGGTGTCATTGTCGTGATTATAATTAATTTTCGACAAACGTAAAATATAATGGCACTTTATTATGAAATGTAGGCTAACGAAATTCCTAAAGGGACTATGATCCCAGGTACCATTGGATTTTCGTGGATGCCTGATATCGATGGTAGAGCTTGTCGAGAGTTTGAAACGATCCGTATCTTTCTCATGTACAGATCTAGCACATTGCCTACTAGTAAAGAGATTTTCCAAGTTTTTAGGAACAGGTTGCTCGTCATCGTGTAGATAAATCCAAGAGTCGATAGCTTTATTTCCAGCTATTTGTTCCAAATTAGGAAATTTAAGTTGTTGTTTTTCAGAAAATAAACGTAGACAACATTCTTTCACGACTATGAGCGTGTGATAACGAAATCGTGAACTGAACACTTCCAGATTTGAGAAAATGGCCATAAGTAAAGAGAAGACTTGTTTCTTTGTGTCAAAAGCATCGAAATCATATTGCTTCTTACGAAGAGCTACAATAAATTCAGCAGCAATGTTACGCGCTTCGAAGATATTCTTTACTGGTTGATATGTGAAATCTTTTGATCGAATCGAAGGTTCTGCGTGCAATGGCGGTATAGAAAATAAATTTATATTAAGATAATTGACTAAGTCCAATGTATTCAATATATTTTCATCTTCGTGTAATTCATTAAATAGTATATAGGGTTGATTAGAAGTAACTGAACGAAGAATAACTACGAAAGACGTATAATCGATAGGAGATTTTAATACATATTCATCATTTTGATTTGCCACGAGAGTAGACAAGTAAGGAATATGATCCAGTTGTTTTTGAGTAAGATGAATACTTTGACCAGAATGTTCAAAACGGAATTTATATAGAAGTTCTGTATTTGTCATCGTTTGCAAATTGAATTTCACAAAATGTTAAATTACATGGTCATTTGTGATAATGTGTATCTTAAAAGGAAAATCATTTTTTTTTCTTTCTCGGTCTTAAAACAGTAAAACACAATGCTTCTTTTTTGCTACATGTGACTTCACTGTCAACAAAATTTGACTCGCAAAACAGCAACTCGTTGAGAAAGGTGTGCATGACTCATGCATGGCTTCTAATCAAAATCGTATACAAACCCATGATTCACCATATTTTGAATATATAAAAGTTTTTTCTTGTGATTCCTTACGTTATTTCATCTTGTTACTTGTAAAATTCCAATAAATAATGCAAAAAATGATTTTGAAGCCGTATCCTACTGCATATTTACTAAATTAATTATTCAGTACTTGAACTGTTCCATGAAGGAAAAAAATGAATTCCATTTCTTTTTCTACAATCAATCGTAGTTTTATGAAAGCTAGAATATTAATAGTCTGTGACCAATTAATCACAATTATTGTCTATTCTCCGGGGACTGGAATCTGGGTATGAATTCTTTTGATTTGAGAATCACTCCAATAGTTATCGAAGTCGAAACGTGCGTTTCTTAATCGAAATTATTTTTATTTATTTTTCTCTTAGTAAGTCGGCAGAAAATGGCTTATTTGTGCATCAGTAGAATCGAGATACGAGTTGATAAAACATAAATGAAAGACAGAGCTTTACGAAGTGATAGTTAATGCCGATGTTAAATCAGCAATGTCATTGGAATGTGATTGCCGAACAATATTCTGCAGCATGTGAATAACTCTAGCATTATTTTCACCAACATCACGTGCAACACTTCCGAAATCAAGATAGCCATGCGGTAATTCATCAACAATAGTCATCTGATGAGGAACATTAAGAGAACGTAATCGACGTGCAAATTCAATGTTGTCATCAATAAATGGATCTTTAAAAGAGAATTTAACTTTTAAGGAAGATTTACAATAGCTTATCAACTTACCACGTGCACATGGCTAAAACAGTAAAAAGAAAGTTTAATTTGACAGAATATAAAGTCATCAAAAAGAAAACGATGGATAATCAGTTGATTAACAATTATTAAATTGGTTCTTTTGCTAGACTTTGTATCTAGTTTAATCACAAAAACTGTTCGTGAATACTCTATAGTCCTGTTTCCTTCAAAAATAATATACCGGAAATAATTCAGTTCTTTTACCAAACAGCATCGTCATTAGGGGTGGGCCATTTTTTTTAACGGAACTTAATTAATGACATTAATTAATGACTTCCATTAGCCATTAATATTAATGGTTAATGTTTTCTAAGAAAAACTTAATTCATTAATATTAATGTCAATGTTCTTGAATGATATTAATGGTTAACGGAAACATTCACCATTAGTATGAATAGTAATGTTTTCGTTAATATTAGGGATTATACTTTCATTAATCATTAATATTAATGTTAATGTTTTCATTAAAATCAATGACTTAATATTAATGGTTAATGTTTTCATGAAAGCATTATAACTTTCCATATTAAGTAATTAACACTTTCGGAGAAAACATTAGCTATTAAGATCAGTTAATTGATTAATAATTGTAGATAATGTTTCCTTAGAAAAGCCTAATTCAGTAATATGGAAAAATTAATGTTTTCATGAAAACATTAACATTAATATTAATGATTAATGAAAATATAATCCCTAATATTAACGAAAACATTACTATTCATACTAATGGTGAATGTTTCCTTTAACCGTTAATATCATTCAAGAACATTGACATTAATATTAATGATTAATGAAAACATTAATTTTAAAATTAATGTTAATGTTTTTCATTAATCATTAATATTAATGAATTAAGTTTTTCTCAGAAAACATTAAGCATTAATATTAATGGTTAATGAGAAACATTAACATTAATATAAAATTAATGTTAATGGCCCACCCCTAATCGTCATGCTACTAATGGTACGTTTAGTTATAGTGTATTAGTCACTAGCAACGAACGAAGAAATTCATTCGGAGATTTTGAAAGTGAAAAGAAAAAAATCAACCAATTACTATGAGATAGGTGGTTGGAAATTGTCGAAGAATTTCATCTGAAACACATAACGGTGACATGTGAGGATGATCTAGTAATTTTGATTCCGATAATTTTCGAAGAATACATAGTTGACGTGGGCCAACTATCTGAGCTGAACGAAAACAAAAGAAGCAACAAAGCAATTCTCTTTCAGAAGGCAACTCTATATATAGGTTATTTACTTAATCGATCGTGATGCAAATCTATGGTACTAGATTCTTTACTTGGCGGTTTATTTTTATTGTCGAGTACTTGTTGATTCGGTGATAATCTCTTAGAGTTAGATGCTTGCATTTCATCAAATCTATTATCAGTAGAAACTCTTGTTGAAGAAAGCTCATCGTTGTGTGATTCACCATCACATTGAATACCAGCATACGCAGCTACACATCGCCAAAGGAAATTCGTGTTTAATAAAGGATCCATCATCGCCATTAATCGCGATGGTGACATACTGCATATAATAAAAACAAAATAATTACATGATTGAACAACAAATATTTATTAGTTGAATCTTTTTGAAAGTATCTTTCTTCGTTATCTTTTGATTCAACGTCAAAGCTCCGCAAGAAATAACTCATAAATTTGAACTCAACACGGTTGATATTTAGCCTTTGGTTGCATATCCGTAGTAATATTTGTTAGGATCTGTGAGTAAAAATGGATGCTACACGCATTTTCAATTTTAGGACTATTTAAAACATTAATTATCATGATGATCTAATTCAGAAAGCAAAAGTGAACATTTACCTATAACGAAGAAGAAATGGCGTATAAAAGCAAACAATTGCATCTGGTTTTCTTAATCCAGCTTCAATCGCTTTTATGGTCACTACAGTTATTAGATTTCCACCGGCACTATCACCAGCAAACAGAATCGTTTTGCCTGTCCAACCAAGTTTACTAGCATTTTGTAAAATCCATGCATATGCATAAAAACATTCTTCGATAGCACGAGGAAATGGATATTCAGGCGCAAGAGAATAATCAACAGATACAATAGGTATTTCCAAACCCAATGCCCATGGCTTTAAATATACCTGAAAATGAAACAAAAATTATTTCGTGTTGAGCAAGCGAAAAGTTCTATACTTCATGAGTTGCTGATGACGTCGCAATAAAACCTCCACCGTGAACATGCATCAGGAGTTGATCACTCATTGGTAATACGATTTTTGGTGATCCTTCTAAATCAGCTCTTTGTAATGATAGCTTATCCATGCCTTCTCGTATTTCGTGTGACAAAAGTTTAATATTCACCAGCTGTTTTGACTGCATACTACTCGGACCTGTTGGTGGAGGAACAATAATTGAATTAATTTCGATAGGTTCAGGTCCAATTTGAAAATATTTCGATACAGTTACATTAGGAGCAATATAACGTGATCCTTTTTTAATGGAATCATGTTCAAGAAGATTCCAAAACGACTGACAAAATAAATAATCACAATTACGCAATATTTCAGCACACTACAAAAATGATGAAACGAATATCAAATGAATCGGAGATTTCAAAACTCAACATAAATACACAACCTTTCTAGCTCGCTGTTCAGGAAATAAAATATATTTCGACGATGTTGCCAAACTAGCTGCCGCTGCGGTTTTTGATCGATTATAGGTGTCATAATAAGCCGCGAAACTCGCCAATATGATAGTAAGCAGTATTTCCATAGAACGATTGAACTTTAATAAAAGCAAGAGCAAACTTCTTAATGGAATTGATTTGTATAATAGTTCAAACTTACTTGAAATCCACATGTTCTACCGAATAAATGTTTGGAATCATACGCAACCATTTTATAATAATCTAGTTCAATATTCGACGGTATTTGACTAAAATCAGTCTAAAACAAAAGTAAAACAATTTCAAAGTTTATCCCTTTCGTCAAATGCGTCTTTCTATTTACAAATAATGAGTGTTTATCCGAACAGTCGACTAGTCCAACAGCCAATGACAGCATGTGTTCCATGACTTTAAGAGTTTTCGTCCAGGATTTAAGTTCTTGCAATAGTTTCAACGAATGTATGCGACGATGCAAACGAGCAATATGTTTTGCCTTCACTTGTTTAAGTATCTCTAAAGTTCGTAAGCATGCATGGCCATGCGATAAAATTAATGTTCGATATCCATTAGCGTGAACCTAATGCAGAACAAAAACAAATAATGTATTCGAATTTCTTAGTTGGTGTTACTTCAGGGCTATAATCAAAATGATGTAAGATTTGTGTAAGATTTTCAATGAGAGATAGAGATCGTTTTAATGAATTAAACAGTTGAATTAAGACATGTTCAAATTTTCGACAAATATCATTTTTATGTTTCGCAAAAATATCATAATTTGTTTTAGCTAATCCAATGACTTGTATGTATGTTAGATTAAAAGTTGAACCTGAAGCGATTGTTTTTAGTTGTAATGTTATCGGAGTTGTTGCCTCTGTTGGTAGTGTTAGATTATTTGAATTGTATGAAACCATTAGTGAATTATGTATTGTCGGAAGTGAACAGTTTAAAGTTTGACTTGCCAATAAAGTCAACGTTGTAGGCGACATCAATTTTGAACGATTTCGTCTTATTGGCATCTTTTTTCTCAATGGTTGAAGAAATGAAGATGGTTTTAAAGAAGTTTCGTTATGATTGTTGCTGATTTCTGTATCAGCAGTTATTTGTGATGATTTGTAATTGAATAAGTAGTAATGTATGTGTGTTTTTTTTTATATGAAAGGAGCATACACTTAATATATTTCGTTAGTCTTTTTTTAATTATAGCCAAAAGAGAGAGAGAAAGAAACAAGTTATTCAAGCGTAAACAACAAAGTATTGGGTGTGGTACACTAAAACGCGACGAGGAAGTAAGGTGTGATAACAATCAAGCTCCAATGGAGAGTGTTACACTATTAGATTAGTAGGTGTGCTATTAAAAATGAAGTTGGTTGTGTGACTATATATTTCGCACTACCTATAGAGCATCGAAATGACGTGGATGTGGTTTCTGGGACAGTTGATAGTATAAAATAGATACTAACACGCGTACCCACAACCAGCAAAAAAAATCATAGTTTCAAACAATATACTTCATACTGATAGTCGTTGTTAGATTAGGATCAGCATGAGAGAAGATCAAACCACCAGACGGATCACGATATGCAGTAAGTAGTACCACCAAATCTTCACCATATTTGAAGACATATTTAATCAATTGCTGTGCTACACTACCAGTATTAGCCGTCACAATAGCTTGAAAGCCATGAGCCTTTGCAACCTGTAACGTATGACATTCAATCAAATGTTGATACGAATTTTTACAATTTCCATGTGATTAAAAAACATAGCTTCTCATCCTTGCATAGAATTGCTTCCTACGATGATAGGATTCAAGGACTCGAAATGAACCATATAAAGTTGAATGGAACGAAGTTGTTGGTGATGTGGTACCAATCCACGGAGTAAAACAAGATCAACGATACCGTCTTGAGAAAAAAAGAATTTTGATTTATCAAACATGCAAAATTAAGGAACACTTACGACTGGAACCCTGAATGAAAAAAAATGAGGACGATGATGAATTGTTTGAGCTGTCAGTTGAAAAAAAAATGTTCACTTATAAGACCAGAGTGTTTAAATTACTTGCCAACTGATGGTTCCAAGGGGTGGAAACTGGTTAGCTTAGATTGCGAAGATCGCCAAAGTTAGCGATGAATTGTCGTGACGTCTGTCGTTTATCTCTTTATTTTAATTTTTAAGATTTGCTTAAAATTAACATAGCTTCTGTGATACGAAAGATTATGGGGTGACGTTCATATTAAGCGAGAAGAAACAGCTTGTCCTGATGTAAATGTGTTACATTGCAAGCCTCACGTGTAAAAAATATGAACCTTGATTATTTGTGTGTGGATGTCAATTTAGATAAAAAGATGATAAATTCCCACGCCATTCTTTAGATTCAAATTTACTATTTTATTAGAAAACTCAATGTATCGTTATTCGTTGGTTAGCATAGTCAATAAATTCAGTCTATTTTCGTACCATGCTGCCTCATCTTTGAAATGAAATTTTTGGCAAACATCTAAAATGTCGTGATATGTTTCCACAATATTGAAAATTTTCCTGTCTTTTCCTGTTGCTGTGTACATTTTTCGTAAACAAATTGGACATAGATACAACGGTTGTCCGTCCATTTCTACTTCAGTTTCAGCTCCGTTCATCAAACATAAATAATAGACGCAATGTTTGAGACCAAACAAATGTATGATTTCATGTACACAGACACTAATGGCTCGTTTCAGTATCAATATTCGTTCTTGTTCTGTACAGGGTCCCACTGATTCTATGTCTGGAAACGATGGGTCCAGACGAGCAAATGAATAAATCGCAATACCATCAATAGTCGAAGCTAGACCATACACGAAATTCCAGCTAGAATCGGGATAGATATCAGCCATGGTCACACCAATGCAAAATAATTCTTCAGTATCATTCTTTCGTTGTCGCCGTTTCATTTTTTTCAAATGATCAATTATGAGAGTCGCTGAATATTGTGGTTTCTTCGTGTAGGGATCGATACGCTGCCCTGCTCGTGAATGTTTTGGCAAGTCGGTGAAATCGATTTGAGGCAAAGTCTCCAATCGACATCCCGGGAAAAAATGACTGGAAAATTCCGATATATTTTTCAAAGAGGGTACTCTAGAAACAAAGATTTAAAAGTCGAATATAATTAACTTCGCGTGTGGATGCGAGTATGCATCAGACATCGTATCGAAGATTAGCCCACACCTATACATGCCTACCTTGGATGGTCGAATGAGCCTATTGGCTGTATGTAGATTGTTCGCCGACTAAAAGTATGAATGACACGTCAGTAATAGTAAAAACATATATGTTTCTCTAAGAGCATCCTACTTTCCATGTAGTACTGTTTGTTTTGTTCTCTCGAATGATTCTACAGTTTGACCTCGCTCTTGATTCATCGTGACCCAATCTCCTTCATTCGGTATTGGAAACGGCAAAAAACATTCATCGACACCGACTGTCACTGCTCGACGAATACTATCAGGTAGCTGAAATATATAATAAAGAAATCAGACTTCATGCAATCTAAAATAAAATTCGGGCTGTTTCAGATCGGTCTGATATTATATCTTACAGGTTGAAATGAATTTCGATATAAATTTTACTCGGCATCAGATGAACAGATATTCTTATCAGTCTATTGACGATGTTTATGTAACACTTCAGAATAATTCGGTAGCATGATTAATGCTGATTGTCGAAAATATAGCTTATAAATTACAGTTGATTATATACTTACTTGGTATGTGTCGCCAAGAGCTCTCGCTCGTTCTCGATCGGTCGGAGCAGAAAATAACTTGTTAAAACTAGCACACATGTCTCTACGCAGTCTCAGACAATGTTTACCATTATGCATTTTCTGTTCATTTAAGTATGTTTTATGTTATTGCAAAAGTACGAGTCATTTTTACGTCCTAATGCATCATACATTGAATACATGACTATACAGTAAAGAAAATATTGCACAAGAGTGAAGCAATGACACACTTTCATACTGTTTGTTTAATGATTAGAGTCTCTAACATTCATAGGAAAACAAAACTACTAGTCGATTATAAATAATATTTCTAATCCATTCTCTCCAGACAACGCATAGTAAACGCTGTTAATGCGTTAAGAGATGTCGTTTTAGTATGTACAGTAGTTTTTCTTTACAAAGCTGTTATTAGAAAATATTTTTAAATTGATAGAACACTTTAAAAACACGAATTCAGCACCTACCTGTTTTGCAAAACGATAAAAATAAGTTTCGGACTACACCCAAGCAGACATATGATGCGTTCGGAAAATATCCCCGGAAACTCGATTAAGTGCTAGGGAACCAAACCTAGCAGATATAGAGATATACAGCGTATAGGGGGGTACAGGAGTTATAGGAGATATTTTTTTCTCTTTTATCTCTTAATTTTATTTAATTATAACTCAACTAAAATAAAATTTTCTTTCACAGATATTACTGATATCAATATTTATTTGTTGAATTTTGCTCGTTGTTTATCAATCTCCTATATCCCCTATAACTCCTGTGCTCCCTAGACCTCCTAGGCCCCCTATATGCTGTATATCTCTATATCTGTTATATCTGCTACGTTTGGTTCCCTAGCACTTAATCGAGTTTCCGAGGATATTCCCAGAACACATCTAATCCAAGCAGAGAAAAATTTTGAATAACGCGTTGAAACACTCAATCGGGAACCGAGAGTCTAGTTTATCTATTTGGTATGTGTTAGTCGCTTAAGTATTCTGAGCATTTTCTGGTTTTTATAGTAGAGCGTACATTTGGAATCAATGACTGAATCAGGAACGATGGTAGCTCAGTAAAGTAAAATACTGAACAAATCTCTAACTAAGATATTCAAGTTATGGAGAAATCTGTCGCGTTATTTGTTTGTAGCAATGTTTTATGGCGCTTATAGAGGTGCATCGCGCACTAAGCAATTTGAGATACACAACATGTGGGAATTGAACATAGAAAAAACGGATGCTATCTTAATGGACTGCTTGAGTAATATTAGACTTGGATAGACGAGGTAAAATACAGGAAATTTCTATTTTTGTTTACTTCCGATGCTCTTACGATCGATGGCGTATTGTTAGAAGATCAGTGGATATTTTTGCTCAATAAGATAAACATTGGATTATATTGACAACTATGCTGATATCGTATTCTTGCTTTTCAATTAAAGACAACAAAAACAAATATAAGGCATTCTAAACGTTAATTCAATTACAACTGTAAGTTGTGGTAGAATCAAAAACTCGATAACATCAAATTCAGATTTATTTGATCGAACAGTTAAAATCGTAATATATTTAAGAATATACATTATAACAATTAAATTCTATAAAATGTTACGTATTGAAGCGTAACAATATCTTGTAGTTCCAATGAAATAAATCGATCTAAGTCGAAAGTGATGATCATTGTATCATGTAGGATGTTCCTATAGGCGAAATCAAGCATTCTATATCAAAATTGCATGGTGAAACTCAACGAATATTAAAACGATTACAAGACTCAAACAATATTATTTATTACCAAGGCTACTTTAAAATTTATGTACTCAGCATCAATAGGAATAACATTCCTCTACATGAAATCATATAAAGCTTTATTTTTACTATATTATATCAATAGTACAGTAAGCCTATGGGGTACGAAAAAAGGCATGTTCAAAATATTTTTCTTTTGATTTTCATTTTAGTGTTATCTCCTAATATGCTCATTATTAATAATTATTTGAATTACTTTATTTATTGATTTGAATGCAAAAACAACGACACATGATACCGACAAGACGACGAGAGAATGTGCATAAAGACATAAAACAACAAATGACTAGATAGAATAAATTAGAAAAAAAATCTTATTTCATAATAACCGGTGTTCGACTTGAATACAGAGATGATGGCGCAAAATTATCAAAACCTTTTTGAATGCCTGTATACATTGGTAAACTTGTCATGAACGATTGTATTTGTTTTTCTATGGGTGTTAACGCTGGTAGAGTTTCTTCAAAGGATTCTTCATCAAGTTGTGAAAATATTTCACCGCTACTGTCTCTATGTTTCTTGGATTTTTGTAAATGACTCATCCAATGTAAATCATTCATTGTTTGTTTTTGTCGATTTGATATATTTGATCTTATTATTGGAGGTAAACGTTGAGTTTTTGTACATTGACGTCGAAACTTTGAATTCATTTCAACGAACTTTTCATCACTTGAATTTGGACTATTATTAACACTGGATATTGATAAATGAGATTTACCATTCGTAGATATTTCTATTGTATGATGATTGGATTTCTCCTTTTGTTCACAATAAAATTCATCAGATTTGAATGAGATTTTCTTTCGATTTGAATTTAATGTTCGATTGGTATCACGACGAATGAAATTTACAAGGTTTTTATGTGTGATTAAATTTTGTTCGTGTTCACGTTTAATTAATGATAATTCTTGAGATAGTAGACGATCAAAATGCTTAACACGTTGTTGAACAGTAGCATTTACTAACATCATTTCTTCTGTCTGTTTTTCTCTCTACGTATAGAGCTATTTTGAAAGGAGAAAAATATTTTAAACTGAATGTGAAGTGCCTATGTGTCAACTATTTCTTTTTTTAAATCAACAAATGTCAATTGAAGAAATAAGAAGCAAAGAGAAGTGGGTGAAAAGATGTATTCTCGAATGATTTTCAACATCGTTACCGATTCCATCTATTTAAGAAATGAAATGTTTAAATCAATCAAGTTTAAACAATACTTGACGATTTCCTTTTCAATAGTGATGAAATCAACGTCGACATATTATTTCTGTTTTTCTCGTTGCGATGTTGTTTAGTTTTCAAATAGTAGTGATGAAAAATTCTTTCGACAATAGAAAGTTTAAAAGTTGTTTTTAGAAGAATTTTTCTGTAGGATAAAAATCGCTCTTATGCTGGTCTTGTTAATGCGCGAAGTCATATGAAACTACCAGTTACCTGTATTATTAGATTAAAAAATAATTTTATCAGATAACTTGAATTCGTATGATGTCTTCCTATTTTCGAATTTTAGCTTTTTGAAATATAAATCCTCTTGAGAGTGTGGGTGTGCGGTTGAAGACAAAATCAATATCCACACCGTTTATGTTTGTATTTGTATTAAAAAAACAAATAGATATCATCGAATATAAGTAACTATGGAGTCGTTTGGCATGCATCATATTTTAGGAAACATTTAATAAATCGAATATTATGTTTTCTTTTCTAAATTCATATTCTTAAGACTAGCTATATCAAATTCAAAATAGCATACGTAGATGTTGTAGAAAATCTGCTTTTTTTAGGGCAACTAATGACTAAAAAGCCTACTTGTCTAATTTAGATAAATTTTCAAAATAAATCGTGCCGAAATTCGTAATAACATTAAATATCCAGCAGTCGGACGTTTCAAAATGATTATATTTCTCTTTTACAAAGTTATTGTTTTCAAATCATCCTGTCAGGTTTCAATGTAGCCTTTGTTTACTCAAATCTTCAACCGTCATTATTGAAAAATCAGACATGTTGAATCTGTCGTATGCCGTTCTATTGATGACACCCAAATAGATGAGATTTTCTTTACTTCGACAAATATTATCAGAGGACTGGCAATAAGTCCAATTTACCTAAAGTCCTGTGAAAAGTCCTTCACCTTCAACCTAAAGTGCCGCCATGGGACTTTGTGTAGGAAAAGTGACATTTTCTCGGAACTTTGTCACTGCTGAAAAATTCCTATTGGCTTTTTCTAATACTTTTCTCATACTCAATATGAACAATCTACATGGCAATGCTACTTCACAGCGCATTGAGCATAATAAAAATGTTTAGAAGACGTTTTTATTTTGTAATAGAGCTTTCAACGACGCATCTTTCAAAAAGAAAAACCAGAATGTTGTCATTTTCTCAAGTCGACATCTCTAGGAAAGTTTGTTTCGCGTCATTTAACTAATGTGTTTTATCCATGTTTCGACTTCGTGATTTACGCTTTCTGGATTTTCTTCCATAGTCCAATGGCTAGTTTCCAATTCAACTGATTTCAAGTCAGTAATATGCTCACTTTGACCGGCAAAGAATTTTGGAATGCATATGCAATCTTTCGTGCCACCAATGTAAAGAACAGGTTGTTTTATTTTGTAGTCAAGATTTTTTTCATCATCCCAATCAATATTAGCCAAAGCTGATTTGTACCAATTTAATTTTGGTTGCATGCCTTCAGTGAGACATTGATGCATGACTTCATAATCTTTATCCGTTAAATACGAAGCTCGAGTTGTTGCTTTTTTGTTTGTTACCCATTCTCGAACTTTGCCAAGTGGTGCTAAATCAGTTTTCCACAGTGCAGGATCGCTTGCGTAGGCAAGATCAAGAAAACGATCTGCATTGTCTTCGATAATTTTTGCTGCATCATCAGAATTGAAAAATTCCCAATAGCCAAAAAGTTCATAGCCGAATATCTGTCTTGTCCCTTGTATCATTTTATCAAAATCCAGCCACGCCGGTGGTCGATAACCAGAATTAAATAAAACAACACCCAACGTACGTTCAGGATGATACAAAACAAATCGAATTGCTGGCCGAACACCCCAATCATGTCCAAGAACGATAACTTTATTCAAGTGCAAATGCTCAAGAAGAGCTATAAGATGCTGAACCATCGATTTTGTTTTGTATTCATTCATATCCAACGGAGAATAGGTCTTGCCATAGCCCATTAAATTTGGTGCTAAACATCCGTAACCTTGTTTAGAGAAGTAGTCAATTTGGTGACGCCAACAATAGAATGATGATGGAAATCCATGAAGAAACAACAACGTAGGTTTTGAATCGTCTTTTGACTTGATATAAATATATTCGTAATTAATACCATCAGCAATTATAGAATTCTGCCGTTCAAATGCAGTATTCATGCTACCGAGTGAATATTTAATAGCAATAAGAAAACGCTTGCAAGAGAATGATGATGTTTACTGGATATCGCGACCTTTTTATATAGCACATAAGAACTCCATCGATAGAAGAAAAATATGTATCCTCTCGCTTGTATCTTATCTTTTTATTGTCTATTGACTTAGTTATTACCGTTACACACGCGTTCTTGTTCTTATGTCGCTACTAATAGTATGTATAAGTACGTATATTATCTCGAGTTTGGATGTTTCGTTTGTTGCTGACATCTATATTAATTTGAAATATGATTGCATAGCTCTACAATTCTTTTCTTTTTGAAACATGTTCCTAGAAAGACGATTATTTAAAAGCATCTAAATTCAGTGGAAACATGTTGTTCATCGTCGTTAGTTTAATTTTATTAATAAATCCATCTCAAACACAGGACACATGTTCAAATGATAATCAATGTCCGTACTACTGTGATGGCGATGGCAAATGTCAGAAGCCCGTACCAAGAGGTCATCATTGTTCCGGTTATACTCGTCACACTCGAGAATGTGATATTGCAGCTTGGTGTGATCCGGACCAAAACTCAACTTGTCAACTTTTGAAAAACGTCGAAGAAAAATGTAAATATGATTACTCTTGCATTGATAATTACTGCGATTTGGAAACTAATACTTGTCAGTATCGAAAATTCATCGATGAACAATGTCATACAAATCGGTCATGCCATTCCAATTACTGTGAAACCGATAATAAAAAATGCCAATCAGTGGAAGAACAATCTCCTGTACCGAAGTTTATCAGTTTGATACTTATATGTATCATATTGCATATTTACGACAAAAAGAAGACAGCGAAAATTAATGTTACTACGCAAACAGATGATGCACAACACCCACTTGAGGACTTCATACAGCTAAACTGAATGTTTTTAACAGTCATTTATATGAAATAAAAATTGATATTGTGAGATACAAATTGTACTTTTGTTAACATGACTTATGAAATTTCGAATTTTCTGAAACTTTTGTGTAAAAAAAGGATTGATCTCTTCAGATAAATCTCAATCATATTTAACACCGATTTTGTCTGATGCGATGATCTTCAGATTAATGGATAACGTGGTTCTGCGATAAATTCATTTGTCGTCGATAGTCTCTGATAGAATCGAATATTTTATAAGAAAACATTTAACAAGAATATGTCTGATAATCTTCAACGGTCGTCGAATTAGACCCAAATGAAAAAATCAATTCACCAATCAATACATTTTTATTGTTATGTGCTTGAGCTTTTATTTTATAATTGAGATTGCTATTGAGTATCACCAATAAAAAAATTGCACAAGAAAACCTTTTACATTTAGAAGTAAGATTCGCTATAAGACTACATGCACACTATGCATTGTATATTCAATGTCAACATATAAGAGAAAGAAAAAAGAAAAAGACACGTGACTTCATGCTTTTTTTACTCTCAAAATACAAATATCAATGTCTTGTCTTTTTCTTTCGGTTGATTTGAACGAGAAAGAATAAGAGAAAATCATTGATGCAAAGAAGTGTGGCTAGTTGGAATATAAAATCTTCCTACTGCTATTCATTTTAAAAGGAAGGTGAGACAAAAATTTTTTAAGTTGGAGAAATTATTTTTCCAAGATGGAATTTTCCAACTGATTCAAATCAATCAAAACTGAAGAAAATTTCCAGCCAATGAACGCATTCGAAGTAATTCGGGACGCATATTGGAATTATGCGCTGTAAAAGTATGTCGACGTGTTGATTTCTGCTGAAATTTCAAAGTTTTTTCTCGGAATTGAGAGAAAAGGAGACGAATATATCGAATTTCCGACGTGCGAAAGCGTTTATAATCGTCAAGATCAATAATATTATAATCTTTAATATAAAATGATTTTATTGAACCAATAAGTAAATGTTTCTGTAAATGTTTGAGAATAGTTAAAATTCGTAGATTTAAATTTCCTCCAGTCCATTCTTCTTTTCTTGGATATCGAGTTGTTTCATAGAACAATTCTGTCTTGAGCATGTACGACGAGATCAAATCGTCACCATCGTATTTCATTCGATCGATTTCACATGAAAATGGATTCAAAATGCGTAAACTTTTTAAAATTAAATAAGCTGTAAGTTGTTCGTAATGTAAATTTTTCAAGTAAAATAATTCAGCTGCTGATGTTGATATACGCCAAAGATAGGTTTGCTCATCGTTTGGACTTCGAGCTATTAAATGGCATTGAACTTTTTCAAATGGATACGTAATATTAGCTGTTCGAGGCCATTCATTAATGGTTAAACATGGCACAACATCGATTTTAATCGTTATATGTGGATATTTTGTTCCATACCATTCGGCTTGGACAGCTGTTCCGCATCGTTTATCACTACTTGTCCATTCAAATTTTAGATGTTTAAATTTCGTTATAGTATCTTTGGAAATAACATGAGCTCGTGCCGAGGTTAATAATCGATAGAATTGTAGACGAATTTTTTCTGCTGACAAACGTTGCTTTTCTGGTTCAAGATAAGATTCCAATTTGATTTTTGCTTCCTCAATATTTCGTAGAGTTAATCCAGCAAATCCGGGTGGATCTTTATCGTCTTGAAAATACTCTGATAAACTTTGTATTTTATCTAAATTGATCATATAATCAAATTCATCGGGTAAACCAACTTTAGTTCGTTCATAAAATGAGCCACTTGGAATAATACTAGCTGAAAACAATGGATCTAGTTGATGAATGTATGAAATAATCTCTCGAATATAATTTTGAATTTCATGATCCATGATTTCTTCTTCAAATTCATGGTCAATTATTTGTTTGAATAATACGGAATGATAATCTAATGCATGAATTGATGATTGAAGAAAATCGGCGTTTTCTTCAGATCGTTTCTGTAAATCGTTTGATGTCCATCCAAAATGATTTCTTTGCTCGGGATTTGATCCTTGACGCATTAAATACTTTGCAAATTGAATCTGTTGATTGAAAATGGCGATATGAAGTGCTGTATTACCAAATACATCTTGTTGATTTAAATCGATTAGAATGTTTCGATCTCGAAGATAATCGAATAAGATTTCGGCTGATTCTAAACTTCCTTTTTTCGCTAAAAAATGTAAATGTGTCCATCCGTAAATATCTCGATTTTCCGATGAATATGGATTACTATGTTCAAGTAATGCACGAACACACGATGTTCGATTATACAGTAACGCTGTATGAAGGACTGAACGAAAGTCTTTTTGTGTTTGATTTGGATCGGCGCCGTTTCGAAGAAGGTGTTGAACAATGGAATGATGTCCATTTCGAGAAGCAACAAATAATGGTGATGCACCACTGTTCTTAGCAAGACCAACCGCAGCTCCATAGGATGTCAGGTGAACAACACATTTTTCATGACCTGCATAACAAGAATGATAAATAGGTGTTGTGCCATCGTTGGCTCGTTCATTAGGATTTGCTTGTTTTTTCAATAGCAACAAAACTATCTGATCATACCCTTTTTTAGATGCAATCCATAAGGGTGATTGCTGATTTACATCAGTTATATCGTGGCGAGCCCCATGTTCAAGTAAACAATCAACTAGCTCAGAATAACCTTTTTCGCATGCGTAATATAATGGTGACTGGCCATTGTGATCAACTAAATCTATTGGAGTACCATTTTCAATGGCATTTTCAATACAATGTCGACAATTCTCTAATATGGCTTCGTGTAACTCAGTTCGACTATTTTGACGTTGATATTTCTTTAGATGATTAGATACATCGTCGCGATTCATTGTGAAAAACTACCTGGAAATACAATGAGTTGTTAATCAATATTGGTTTTCTCAGAAATAAAGGTTGTGCAGATCTGGTATCTCGATGGATGTGCACTAAATGGTGTGTTTTAGTGCATTATTAAACGTTAAATTATACTTGCTGAAAACTTAATCGTATCCATTTTTGTATAGATAATGGGAGATAAAAGAATCGATTTTTTTTCATTCCTTTACTATGACACGCTACCAATGAAGTAAACCATCATTTTCTCGTTCTTATATAGCCTTGAATATATATATATTTTGTGCTTCCTTTTGTGAGTCGTTGGTACCTATTTTGTGGGTCATCATGCGTACTTGCATAAGCTCAGCGACTAATCAAATCAAGGTTATTGCTATAGCAACACTCAAAACGAAACCATGAGAGTTAAATTTTCCATTTAGGAAGTATTCATTTTTCGCGGAAATTTCATCGAGTTTTTTTCCCGGGGAAAATTTTTCTTTCTTTTTCTCGATTTGTATTTGACTGTATGAATAAAAATTAGTTTTTCTTTGTGTTTATTAATGCGTCTTCGAGACTATCAGCATAGTTCAACGAAGTAAATGAGATCGATATTTGTTTCAATCGTTAGAATTCGAAAGAAGGATGCAGACGTGATTAGTGCAATAGTCTTATCTATATCCACAACCACACGCCCACACCCAACAAAATTAAAGGATTAAAATTCGAATCTTGAAAAAATCTATCTCTTGAACATTATTACTGATAAAAGAAATATTCCAACTCCTGATTATAAGATATTTACGTCTACTTTTCTCTGAATTTTGTTCGTAATCATAATTGAATGTACATAACAACAGATTATTCTATTTCTAAATAAAGATTTATCATCTTTTTTAAAATTAAGTTGCACAGATAGAATATTCTCTGTGTAATAGAAAACTGATCAACAATCTTTTGCGTGTTTCTTTCTTAGAATAATTTTATTTCATTGAAGTAGATGCGACAAAAAACTGTACCACCATTCTTATTCTTTTCTTTAGTTCATCTAATTAATGGTGAATACATCTTGGTATTCATATGATAATCGCAAGTTCTGGGTTGTAGTTTCCACGGAAACGACCGATAATCCATTCACGTTCTTGAATGTTGATTTGATTATTCTTGAGATTAATCTTTCGTAAATATTGAAGACCATAAATTTCTTCTGGCACAGTCATTAGTTTGTTGTTAGAGAAGTCAAACTCAGTTAAATTCGAGCTGTGGAGCATGCCTGGAGTAGATAGCATATACTTTTCTCCTGTGCATGTGTACCAACCAGGTATCGCAGGAGTTTCGATTCCAACTAATGAAGTTAGTTTGTTTCCACTCATATCTAAAGTAGATAAACAAGGCAAGAATAATGGTAAATGATCAACTCCACAATCAGCGGCTCGTAATTCTCTTAGCGATGTTGAACCATTGAGTACATCAAGTGAATTAATCAAAGAATTGCCGCTTATATCTAATATTTCGAGTGCCCGTAACTGTTTTATGGCACTTGGAAGTGAATCAAATAGTTTGTTTCCTTTAAGATTGAGTATTCTCAATCTAGTTAAGTTTGCGATTGCATCAGAAACTATTTCAATGCCGCAATTACTAAGATTCAGCATGGTTAAATTATGTAACATAAGTAATTCAGCTGGAAGAGTTTTCTGTGGTTTTGGAAGATTGAGAATGGTTAATTGTTTTAAAGTAGAAGAAAGTCGACTGATTTCCGGTGGAATATCGAATTTTGAAGATATGATTGATAGTGTTTTCAATTGAGTCAAGCAGAAGATTGAAAAAGGAATGAATCTTTGTTGAAATATATGAAGTTCAGTTACTCCACCTGAATCATCCACCATTGCATAGGTTAGATTTTCCCGTTTATCGGGATTAATAAAGACCAAAAAAGGAAGAGAGAAGATTATTTCTTTGTCTGATTTGTATATTGCACAATTGATTGACGAAACTTAACATAGACAATAAATAATCTATGCATAGCATGCGCATGCAATACATCATACCTAAATCAGCAGTCGACATCATTATTAATACCAATAGTATTGGAGATACATTGATGAGTAGCATTATTATGATGAAGAAGAATGTAGTAAAATATGACTAAACGAACGACAACATTCTTTTACCACTGTTAGATAGGAAGTGCATGAGTCTTTATGATAAGTGGCTTCATTTAGGAATGAGAAGTTATTGTTATAAATAACAGATCAATAGGAAATAGCTTTTTTTCTGAAGAACCATTTTTAGGGTTCACACTTACGAAAAGCGATGAACACAGTTGAAGATGTATTTTCTTCTCGATGTGTTTATTCTTTTCGAAAAATAGTGATTTTATACGCACATGAAAAATTAGGCAAAAATACAAAGGTTCATCAAGGTAAAATAAGAGAAGTAACAACAACAACATAAAGAAGAATGGAGAGGATCGAGGGGGTGAGTGTTCACGCTACTTTTACTCTCAATCACACCCGGAAAACTGTGGATCTGATAATATATTTCTCGCGACACCTTTTCGAAATCACTTAAATATTGATGATCAAGATTGATATGCGAATTTTTATGATTTTGTGAGATTAATAATACGTATATGGGTGAATAAATATCCATTTGCTTTTTTTCTAGCAGAAAAAATATGTGAATAGGATTATCAATGGAGAGAGAACAGAATGAAGAGGAAGGAGAATCATCGAAGCGTGCCACCAATATCGGCACACCAGATGAATGCATCCTACAACGGATCTTATCGAATCCTATGGGATCCGACTCCCCGACAGAATCCGATAGGATTCCTGGACACGGACCTATTGTCGGTTCCGACGGAGAAAATCGTTTTCTTATTCACGATCAAATAAGCATTTTGAGTCATCAGAGCGCAAGGATGACTCGATAGAGTTGGATTCCGTTAAAATCCGACATCGGCTCCGATTGGGTCCAATACCAAAGATCCGACTGTAGGTCCATATCCAGGAATACCATAAGATTTAGTCGGTTTTATTGAAACATATATGGTATTCGAAATATTCACTGTCTGACCCTTGTCGGAATCCGATAGGATCCTACTGTCGGAATGATTCTCATGAGAAGATTTTTTGCATGAATGGAATGTCTGAGAACGTTTTCTTCTCAGAGTAAAATTCGGTGGTAGTGAGTGTAGTTTTGTTTGCTTAACGTGATATTGAAGTAATTTCAAACCATCAATTAACATAATCCGCTCTAGTTTTGTGTTTCTTGTAATGACAGCTTTGTGTATTCGATTTCGGAAACGCAATGTATAGAGGTTGTATTATAATGTTGGTGTGACGATGAATATTAGTTCTTCTGTCGACCACAACCGTATTCCGTGCGATTTTAATTGAAGTACTGGTTTCGATATTTTACTTTTTAGATTTATACAGTAATTCATGCTAACATATACAGCGGTATTGTATACGCAAAATTCTAAAAATCCTAAAATGAATGTCGCGTTAGTATCTAGAGATGAATTAAAACTACCACAAATCGCCCCATACTTACACCCACACCATCTTTTCCGACACTTTTTCAATCAACATTTTTACTTTTAGACATTTTCCTTTCGACCCATCCACGTCACACCGTTTTGTGAAACACGATCTGAAAGGAATGCTAAAGTATATGGGGTAAAAATTTGGACCCCTCCACCGCTCCCACAGACCGTTACAGAGAAATTAATTAATTAGATAATTGGTTAATTAATTCATTTCTCTGTAACGGTCTGTGGTGGTCTCTGAATTCTCTGTATGGTCTGTGATGGTTTCTAGAGACTCCATACATCATAATACAGGCCGTAATAGAGAAGCTCCACGGAGCATCACCGACCGTTATAGACGGATTCCAGAAAAGAGCTTCATCGTGTTTCACATTTTAATCCCACAGGGTTTGTGCTAGCAGCTTTTTTAAACATTATATTTTATTATTATTATTATTGTATATTATACAACGTTTTGGTGATATATAATAAAAGTATTAATAAAATGGAAATCGCTCCTATACAGTCTCTTGTAGCAACTGTGGCATAGTTTCACTACAATCGAAAGCATGGGCATACACTAATAAAAATTGCAAATAATCGTAAGTAAGAGACCATATACTATTAAAAATTTCTTTTCCAGTTTAGTTTAATCATATAAAATTAATTTAGAGAGCCTTGAATGAGTCTCTGTTGAGCTGTTTGGCATATTTATATTGTAAAGCTCTTGCTATTCGATCTTTACCACGGTCCCAAAAGTCTTTTATATCATGTGAACCATTTTCTAACTCTCTTGTGAATTTAATATATCCGATAATCAATTTATTTTCATTAAGTGTGAAATTTTTTTCTAATAGAATTTGCACTAAAGTAGCTGTTGCTGTTCCATTAGCATTACATTGAAGTGAAACAATTTTTTCAGTATCATTAACATGAAAGTATTCGTTGTTATTAAATGCTCCTTGATAATGTTCTGTGATAGTTTGAAGTTCATCTTCGGGGACATCATATTTGTTTGCACTAACAGACGAATCGGGACTACTTGAACCCGAAGAGTTATTTTCTTTTTTATTATCATTTGTATTCGCTTCAATTAGGCTTTTCATTTTTTTTCTAACACCATCGTCTAGATCAGGAAATTTCCTATCAACATATTCTTCAAAATCTTTTGTGGTTAAATGATCTGGAAATGTTGTTACTACCATTCGTTGATCATAAGAATCATTTTTGATATTTCCAGGATGCTCTTTAATGAACCATTCATAATCTTTCTTTTGTGCTAAAAATTGGTTCACTTGGTTTGCCAAATAGGATGCAGGAGGGGTTGAATTGCCCATCTGTTTAAAATACAGAAACAAAGAAATGAAAATTGTATATGAAAATGTCATTAATATATTTCTGTAACTGGTGAAGAAGACAACTAATCTATGGGATAAATTAAAAAAAAGAAAAATCCAACAGATAATAACAGGTGGTTGATTAAAATATTTGGTAAATGCGTTTAAAAAGAAGATAATAAATAGATATGCAATATGAGTTATATTGACATAAAAAGTATCTTTATCATCTTTTAGAATTTAAGGTAAGGCATCATCTATTAAAGATTTTCAGTCGACGGATGGTTGTGGGATCTGAGTGTAGAGATGTAAATCCGCACCCACACACCCTAGGGAATAAAGTTTTGCAGAACTATTACAATAGTACGGCGTCTCGGAGCTCCTTGAAAAAGACTTGTAGAGGAATCCAGTAAGAATTTTCATGATTCTTGTAAGAATGGGCCCCAGGATCTCTACCTGTGCAAAAGTGAGAAGCGCTAGACTCCATTAGTTCTGTAATCACGAAGTCTAGCCCAATCTTTCGTATTTGTAATTGAGCCCTATCCAACTCTGCTATTACTGTAGAGTCGAGAAAGGTCAAAAACCTTTTCTGATTGTCCATTAGACGACCAATTTTACAGGAGTCCTTTCATTTGCCCAAGTGAATCTCGCTTCGACCGACTCATTCATTGACTGAAAATCTTTAATAGATGATGCCTTACCTTAAATTCTAAAAGATGACAAAAATACTTTTTATGCCAATATAACTCATGCTGGATATCTATTTATTATCTTCTTTTTAAACCCATTTACCAAGTAATTCAATCAAACACCTATTCTTAGGGGCAATTTAAGTATTACTTAATCACGTTTTCGCTACTTTTAGACCCCTACCACCTCCGTATCATCAGACACTCTAAAAATAGTTTTAATACCGAACTTCAGTGGTTCAATACATTTGATCTAAACGGTTTTAGATTCAAAAGAAAAGCTAGGGTTTCGCAATTTTTCAACACAACTTTCTGTTAGCTCCGCAAATTGATCTATAGTTTCGCACTTCAAATGCTAATCTATTAAAATTTTCTCAAAATTAAACATATTTTCGTAGTATATCGACCAAGAGACTGGCGGTTTCAATTTCTTATCGAAGGTTCTGTCCTTCTTATTCTGAACAATGAGAGGTTTCGTACAATATTAGAAGGTTTAGAATTGTTTGTACTGAATTTTTCGTCTTCATATTATTGATCTTATGGTTTCGTATATTTTCCACGAAAAATTTCATTTTCATAGGGGTGATTAATGATTTCGTACAAACTATACGAAACCATTTGTAGTTCTCTACATTTTCTGATGGTTTTACAATTTTCCTAAAATAACGCTACATTTATACTTACCCAGGTTAAATACATACGGCGGGAAACTGTCTGATCCGGTGATTTTCCATCGAATTCCGGAAGCAGTATTCCAAAACGTTTTCCGGGCTCCGTTTCCAGAGTATTTCCCGCTAATTCCTGGCTCTGGAAGCCATAAGCGGATACGGCTTCCGTTTACAACAGGATTCCGGACTACTTTTCCGATCGTTTCCTTTTGACGATCGGAAGCGAAGAAATATGAATAGTTTCCGATCTAGATGCGTAGCCAGGATCTGACCGTTTTCAATCCGGGTATGGAACCCGGATTGCACCGTCCAACCAACCGGATCCGACGATTAGGAATTATTCGATACTTGCTCTTTCTAATTGCAAAAAAAATTGTGAATTTCAACGATAAGCAAATAT